TTCTCTTAAGTGTATTTTTCTTATAAAGTGCTTCAATTCTAGCATTTTTAAGTACTTTTTTGATATAACACAGTTATTACACATTTACAGTGAAATCCTGATATCTCGAACCCTGGACAATTCGAACTACTTTTGAGTTCCCCTTGAACCCTCACTAATACTTTCACATAAAAACAATTCGATTACTTAAACACCTGTTAGCACAAACATTTCCTTAGTTAAACCATCTGCTCCCATGGCTAATATTTTTCTGATAACTGGAACTTTAGAACAAAAATAAAAAAAATTTGCAATGAAGCCCTTACATTGCAATGTAAACAATAATAATAGTTTGATAGTTTAGTTTATAGTAAGTTATACTTATGTGCGTTACAATATTATAATAAAATTTGTTGTGTTTACATTTTATTATGACTACTGTCGCTAAAAAAAGAAAAATGCGCACAAAACCAATTAAAGAAAAATACGCTGCTTTAAGGAAAATCAGAGGAATGTCAAAGTCTCAGGTTGCTATGAAATATAGCATTCCAAAAAATACGCTGAAAATTTTTTCTTTCTTTTTGGATCGAAAATAAAGAAAAATTTTTTGAATATATGAAGACGCTGGGAACAAGTCAAAACGTTTGAGAATTAAAGAAGGAACATTTTCAAGTTTATATAATCTTGTTTTTAAATAGCTTTTAAATGTAAGGAGTAGAAACATGGCAATATTAGCTACAAGTCTTAAACAAAAACCAGAGAACTTCCTAAAAAAATTAATATAAATAGATTTTAAGCGTCTGATGGTCGCTTGATTGTTGGAAAAACAGATATATTTTTTCAAGACCGTATGTGGAAGGGTAACAACTTGTACAACTGAAATCACCACACCATGGAAGGAAACAACCCTGTCTACAATTTTATTCAGCTATAAACTTGATGAAATTATATGGTGGATGAATTTAGATGTGTGGATGTTTTTTCGTATGTGACCTAATAAGTTACTAAATCTTTAATCTGAGATGTATATAGGGGAAAGCGCAGTAAAATTTGTCTTACAGGGATCGTCGCACCAAGTGCAGCGGGTGATAAAGTTTCTATGTTAGGAAAATCAAATCACCTACCTGCTTCAAGAGTTAAGCACTTACCTTGCAGATACAGAAATCAAAATGAAAGCTGGATGGATAGTGTACTGTTTGAAAAGTGGATACGAGAAATGGATACAAAGTTAACAAAACAAAAAAAGAAAGTAACGTTCATAATAGATAATTGCCCAGCACACCTGACAGTTGATAATCTAAAATCTATTGAGCTCATTTTTTTTACCACCGAATACCACATCTAAACTTCAACAATGGATCAGGGAGTTATACATTTTTTGGAAGTTTATTACAGATCTTTGGCATTGCAAAGGCTGATCGTAGCTATCGATAAAAGAAAAGATCTTCCTGTTTTTCAAATTTAGATGCAATGAAAATGCTTGATCTTGCATGGCAAAAAGTAAAAACCTCCACCATCGTTAATTGTTCTGCAAAAGCAGTAATTTGCAAAGATCAGCAGAAATCTGCCCATTCGGATGAAGGCAACAAACTTTTTAAAGAGGTTCAACTTCAGATAAAAAAACCTTTGCAGATGAAAACTTAATTAGCACAGTACCTTTACTTACAGATGAATAGTTGATAGAAGAAGTTAAAAATGCAGCGAATCAACATGATGCTAATGACAAAGAATGATGATGGTAATGCAATCAATCTATTTTGACCATAAGTTAGTGATAGTTGGGAGACAAGTGTTATATGACTTTATGCCCTTCAGTCTTACGGGGGTAGATTTTCAACAAAAGCTGAATGCAGTCTCAATTATATTAGATAGAGACATTTTTTCAAAACTCAGAGTGGCAGAACATTTTAAAATTTATAATGTATTGTTTTGATAACTCAAATTGTTTTTACTTATCAGCACAAGTTCGTGTAATAGAATGTCCCAATAACTCCAACACTCGCTAATTTGAACTATTTTTTAGGTCCCTTGGAGGTTCAAGTTATCGGGAGTTTACTGTATTATAAAATTTCACTATTAAGATGCATCCGGCACATGCAAGGTGAGAAATCTTTTTTACCTTGTTTGTGTTCTATCAACTTTTCTAGGTATAAAAAGTCAAATACATCTGGGAAACAAACAACATAAACAAACTCAATTATTGTTATTTTTCTCTTGCAGGCAGAACAGTTCCTTAGAGCAACATTATATAATCGTTTTGCAAATTTTAATTTGCAAAAGAAATATATAACAACATTTTTATAATTCTCTCTATAATTCTATCAACTTGCTTTTCAATAATTGTAATAATTCTTCATAAACTGTGAAGAAATTCAAAACGTGGACATGCCTGTAATGGTTTTCTTCAGATATATCAAAATTGTAATGATAAAGCTTTTCCGGTGGTAACAAATATTTTAAAAACTAAATCATTTATCAATCACATGATTACACCAGCAGTAACAAAATCATATGAAAAAAACAACATTAATAAGATGTATCAAAGTTAAAAGATAAGTCTACTTTTTTTTTCTTTTTTTTTTTGGAATAAATATGACTTTTCAAAATTAATTTCATGTTTTCGAAATTATTTTAGATATATGATAGTTTTCGAAAGTTTTTACAAAATCCAAATTTTTTTTTTTTTTATCAATGTTTTATTTGAAAGTTGTGTTTTGGAAAATGAACCCTAGTTTAAAAACTTTGTAAAATTTCCAGCTCTTTTGATCTATAATCAAGTCCAAATTAAGGATGTTTTTTAATTTGTTAAAAAAAAAGGTGAAGCGAACCGACTTTTTTAAAAGCAAAAAAAGAATTAGTTGTATTAAAAGATGTATTAAAGCTGTATTAAAGAAAAAGTTGTATTGAATATTTATTTCATTTCATTTAAAACCTAAATTATAGATTGTCAAAAATTAGGTTTTTATAAACATTTCAGATTTAGGTTTTATTTGCTAAAAAAACTTTAAACTATTAAGTAAATGTTTGTAAATTAAATTAAGTTTGAACTATTCATTGGGAGGCTTCTAAATTAAAAAGTATATTTGTTTTATGCTTTTATTTTCTCTGGTTTATCCTTTATTTATGGTTTATTTATTTTTAATTTTCTCTTTAAATTAGTTTGGTTTTTTCAGCACATTTTTAAAAAAATGCAAATATTCAATATATATATATATATATATATATATATATATATATATATATATATATATATATATATATATATATATATATATATATATATATATATATATATATATATATATATATATATATATATATATATATATATATATATATATATATATATATATATATATTAGGGTGGGTCATAAAATTTTTTTTTTAAAGTTGCTAACCTGGCTATGGTCTAGAAAGTTGTTTTTTTATGTACTAATTTAGGAAAGTATTTACTTTAATGGATTGAACAACGTCTTCCACCCGCAACTATAATTACAAAAATTAGCAGGCCCTATTATTATTCAAAAAAAAAAGTTTTTCAAAATTATGTGATGTAGGTACTCAAATAAAGCGAAATTTTATAAAAATTTCAAAAATAATAATTTTTTCATATAAAAATTATTATTTTAGATTTTTTTTTTTTTAATTATCTTCGCTTCCAACAAGGTTGCAAGCAACCACTAATTAGTGTTGGAAGTTACTGGAAGAGAAAAGATAAAGATTGTAGAGCAAGATAACGATTGACAGACGACTTAAAGTATTGCAAATTATATGAATCAGGAAATCAAGATGAAGGAAGCGAATTCCAAAGAACTGATGTTCGAGGAAAAAAGCTAGACGAATAAGAGTTTTTGGAGCACTTAGGAACAGTAACAGAAAAAGGATGAGACTTAATTCAATGACGAGTAACACAAGAATGAATTTTAGTAGATGGCACAAGAGATGCTAACTCTTTAGAGCAGTGCCCATTATAGTATTTGTAGAAAAGAGAAAGAGAAGCAACATTACGATGATGTGACAGAGGTTGAAGGTTGGCTGCAAGAGCAGGTCCAACTATGTTTACAATGCGTTTTTGCACCTTGTCTAAAAGAGAAAGGGCATCATTAGAAGATCCGCCCCAGATATGGCAACAGTATTCCATACAAGGCCGGATTTGAGATTTATAGAGATAGAGAATAGAATCCAGAGTAAGAAAGTGACGAGCTCGATAAAGAGAAGCAACTTTAGCAGATGCATTTATTGCATAATAACTATAGTTTTTTAACTAAATATGAAAAAGGTGCATTTTTACATGTTTTTTAATAACATTTTTTTTCGGCAATATGATTTTTATAAAATGATTATTATTTTCGAATGTTTTATAAAATGTCGCTTCTTTTGAGTACCAAGTTAACCTACTTTTGAAAAACTTTTTTCCTCCAAAATATTAGGGTACCGGTAATTTTCCTAATAAAGTTGTGCCCTTTAAATCTATCACAATCGTTCTCATATTTGATAGTATCAATATTAATAACTATTAGCAATGCTTAGAGCTTGTAACAAGAAAAAAATTTTTTATGACCCACCCTAATATATATATATATATATATATATAAATATATATATATATATATATATATATATATATATATATATATATATGTATATATATATATATATATATATATATATGTATATATATATATGCAAATAGTATTGCGTACTAAGGTAAGCAATCTGACGTCATACTGAAATAGCCTGCTGCTGGGGGCTTCAGTACATACATCAACTGACAAATAGCCTGACTCGCAGTGGAGTGTTGCTACATCGACTGAGGGTTTGGAATGGGGAAGCAATCGTTTCATTCATCATTATTTGTTTTTTCTTCTTCTTTTTTGAAAAAAATGGTATAGCTTAAGGTAAGCAGAAAAAGTGAGCAAATGCTTGTCAAAACACGCTTTAGTAAGTGTATATATATATATATATATATATATATATATATATATATATATATATATATATATTTATTTATTTACTTTCAGAATATTTTAAAAATGTCTGGAGCTAAAAAAGGTTTAAAAACCATCAAGAAAATGATTTCGTACTCAGCTGATAAAACAACTGGTCGAAATTGGAGACCTCCTAAGGAAGGTGAAAATGTATGATTTATATTGAAAGATTCTTTTTCAATTGTTCTTAGTTTGTTTTATACTTAAGTTTATAAGTTGTTTAAAATAATAAGTAAAATATAAAAGCAATTTGTTATATTAAATAAAGTAAGTATAAATATAAAATTAATAATAATAATAATATAAATAATAACAACAATAATAACAACATCAACAGAAACTACAGCAATAATAATATTAATAATAGTAATAATAATAATCAGGCTTTGTTAAGAAACCATGCGCAGCTATCATTTTACATATGAAATGGGGATTAGCATATGCATTCAGTAGTTTTGTGTTAAGCTAAAACTTTTTTATTGTGGAGTGTTTATTAATTATTGTAAATTATTAGGTTGTAAAAAAAAGTGTTTAACCTCATCTGTGAAATTTTAAAGAAACAGATTTCACAAATAAATTTGAAATTTTTTTGTTTCTTATTAATATTAAATAAAAATTTGCTTAATTTACCTTTACAAATATCTTATTGGTTACTGATAAAATATGTTTATAAATTGTCTGGTAAAGTGTCTATAAATTACTGATAAAATATGTCTATAAATTATAGCCTTTATTTAAAAATATTATATTAAATACGTAAAAATTAAAATAAATCAATGGTGATAAACAAACGCTGTTAAGGATAAGATGGTTTTAAAAAATAAATTATAAGGAAATATAATCTTTTTCAAATACCAAATTTAGATTTTATCAACAGTTTTTGTTAAATTGGTTTAAATTATTATTAACATGGTTTAAATTTAATTTAATTATAACGCACTTTAAAATATGCTAATGCCGCAATTTAACTTTTAACAATTAAGCATCAAAGCTGTGTTAAAGTTACATTTATTAGCGTAAAGCATTTTTGTTACGCAATAAATTCTCATAACAAGGCCTGAATAATAATAGTAATATAAAATAATAATATTAATAATGTAAATTATTTTTTTACCAATATTTATCAAGTTTATATATATATATATATATATATATATATATATATATATATATATATATATATATATATATATATATATATATATATATATATATATATATATATATTAATTGAAATTGAACTAATGTTTTAATTTTTATTTTAAAAAGAGCGATTGTCTTGACAAACCCAGCGTTTATCATGCAACTGTTGTTATTTTTTTGGAGTTCTTTGCTTGGGGGCTGCTTACCTCTCCAACTATAACAGTATGCTTTTTAAAAATTTATTTATATATATATACAATTTTTATAAATTTTTTTTCAATTTAGTTATTATTTATTGTTATGTCATTTAATTTCAATTTAACTATAAAAAGTAATACCTCGACTCGACTCGAGATAGCAAGGGGTTGAGGTTTGTTTTTTTTTTTCAATGGTGATATTTGTTTCCAATGATTTTTTGTAAACAAGCTTGCATTAAAAAAAAAAGAAGAAAGAATGCTCTCAATTCTCAGTGTACCACTATTTACAATTTTTAATATGTGGTTAACAGGCTTGGTCGGAACCGGGTGTGATCGCACTCGATAACTGACCACGGAAATAATTTTAGTTGCAAAAAACCGGCCAGAATTTTTAGTTGTTTAGAAAATGTTTAAGTTTTGTATGTTTCCTTGTTTGTCCGCAAAATAATAATCAAGTTTATTATTTTATTGTAAATTTTAAAATATTTTGTTTTATGGACATACATGGAAGAATACATAAACTCAAATGTTCTCAAACATCTTTGTGCAGAAAAATAAAAAAAAGAATATTGGCGAACACCAAAAACCCGCCAAATCTACGAACAACTAATTCTATTGGTTCAAAAAATACTATCCAAAATTTCCAGAATGTTCTAAAGTATTCTGTTGAAATATTTTTAAAAATTGTATTATTTGAATTTTGAGATTGTAAAATAATGATTGAGATTATAAAATAATGTTGAGATTATAAAGTAAATAGTTTTAAGAACTATTATTTTAATTACAAGTTATTATTTTAAGTTATTATCAAAGCTTTAAATGTTTTAAACTAACATTTTAACTTGTCAACGTTTTTTAAATATATTATAGATTTTACTAGTATATTCTTATTTTTTATATAAAAGGGATGTATTTTTATATTAGTAATGTATTTTAATGTATGTAATGTATTTTTATGTATTTAATGTATTTTTATGTATGTAATTTTATGTATGTGTATTTTATATAAATGTAATCTTTTAAAGCAATTTGATTTTGTAAACAAAAATACTTTCAATAATAACTGCATTTTCAATGAAATTAATAATAACCATCAAAGTTAATACAAACAATTTTAACCATTAATCCATTTTCCTCAGTGTACTCGATAACTGATTCTTTTCCCCAAGAAAGTTTTTAAGTTCTTAGAATTTCAATTGTTTTTGCTTCAGCCATTCTTACAAACTTGTTATACTTAAACCTAAAGTTACTTTTTTCTGTTTTAAATACTAATTAAAATTATAAAGCCTACTCACTAAACATCATCAGCGGTATTGTGAAGCATTTCTGTGCATTTCCTCCTCACAAAATAATTTAAAGTTTTTAGTTAATTTTTATCTAGCTAATTGAATTTCTACGGTAACTCAATGATTTATTTCATTTGATCATCTTATTAAGAAGAATTGTTTCAAATGTGTTAAACTTTTCAAACTACGCGAAGCATGAAATAGTTATTAAAAAAACTTTTATTTATAAATAAATCATCTAGCATTAGTTTTATTGGTTGAATCTTATTGGACCTTTCTTTTTTTTTTTTTGGCGTTAAAAGTTATTTTTCTTTTTGTAAGGGATCGTCCATAAATTTCGTAATGCGAAATTTAAATAATAGACAAACAAAAAAGTGTTAAAAGTTTTTTCTCACAGATTCTTTAATTAAACCATGTATAAATAACCCTTCAAGTCCAGCGAAAACCGCTGCTTAAAAGAGCAAAATGATCTTCTACTTATATTTTTAAAATAAGCTTTGCGTTACATAATTTATGGACGATCCCTGACTGTCTCTCATTGGTCCAGTTAATCTTATTGTGCTTTTTTGTTTGTTTTTGAAATATTCTCAAAATGACTAAAAAATCTGGCCGGTTTTTCGCAACTAAATACTATTTATGTGGTCAATTATCAATTGCGATATCACCCGCTTCCCGACCAGACCTGGGTTAATACTTTTTTTTCTTCAGTGTCATCTATTTGTACTTATACTTGTACACACCTAAATTTCTGTTCATAAAAAAGGTAGATGTTCATAAAAAAGGTAGATATATGTTTGCTATAGGGTAAAAATATATGAAATCATCCAGACCATGACACCCTTACGTCTCAGAATTTGTTTATTTTTACACCACTTGCAGTCCATATCAAAAAAATAATAACTGCAAAAATTTTAGTTGAAAATACCAATGGGTTCCAGAGATATCGTCAGTTGAAATAATGCTGACTCAGCATTTTAGTGATTTTTTGAAGCGACTACAAAGCAACTTTGACATACAGTATCTTCATAATGGCTTGGGGAAATTTCCTAAAATTTGGTACTCTAATAGATTTTAATTTGAGGAATCCAAAAATAGCACTCTTAAGACTCGATTATCTCAAGAAATGCTTCATTTATCCAATTTTTTTCAAAATTATTGACTTGTAAGTTAGTGATTTTTGGAGGTAAAATAAAGACTGTGGCCCAAAATCCCGAGTAAAAATTTTAATTGTATATCATTATTTCATCTTAGGTCTACTGAAAAAAATTAGATTCATCAATTGTCTCTCTAATACGTGATCAAAATTTGCATTTAAAAATGGTGTCTTTTAAGAAAAATTTAAATTTTGTAACAAAAGCAATTAAAATATTTTTTAAAACATTTATTTGAATAAAACACCAAATAGTGTCATTTATTGAATAGTTTAGGACATTTATAGTCATGGGCCAAAGGAGATACCCTCTCTACCCACGGGAGGCCCCTACGCCCCCTCCCCCAATCTCCCTAGATTTTTTTTTTTTTTTTTTTTTTTTTTTTTCATAAAATGAATAAATGTAAAAACATACAATTTAATTTTAATTTTAAAAAAAAAAAATTCATTATTTCAAATTAGTGACTTAAAACCTCCTTTTATATAAAAAACAAACATAAGTTTTGTTTTGTTCTTTTTAAAGGTATTTACGTGTTTGTATTTTCTTAAAGAATTACTTTTAATTTTATAGTATTTATATTATTTTGTTAGGTAATAAATAATAAAAATAATTAATATGGAGAAATGTGACATTGGAAAAAGTCTTAACATTCATTGCCACAAAACTGGATTTTCAAGAAAACAAGGTTTTGTTTAATTTAAAGATCTTCCTTGTGAAAAACAAGAAGAAATAATATGGCGAGCAAATTTAAAGGAAAAATATAGTTCAATAAGAATTATATGTTGTTATCATGAGCAATTCTATGGAAAATATTTTGAGAGAAAAATTACAAAGTGTTGCAATCCTTTTGGAACACACAAGGAAAGTAAAAAAATTGCTATAAAAGGTAATCTTACCTTATTTACAACAGAATTGATATGGAAATTAAAAGAAAACAATTTATTATTTATAAAAAGTTTTATAATTTCAGTTATTTTAACAACGTAAAACTAAATTTGTTTTTTAGGTAATATAAAGATTTCCATAGACATGGCAAACTATTTGCAAAAAAATAATGTTTATGTAACCCCAGGTTGGAAATTCTGCAGTAAATGTTACAAAAAAGCAATAGAAACTGATGAAGATTTAAATTCACAGGAGGAATGGGAATCAAAAAGTGAGAAAAAAATTAAGTTAGATATCACTATAGAATTGCTTGGAATCTCACCGGTCAAACTAAAAAGTCTTTCAAAACACAGCAAATTGCCTGTAGCAAAACAAAAGTTTGAGAACACTATTGACAGAGTTGCAAAAATGGTCTCATTAGCATATAATATTAAAGTAACTTTTTTAACAACAGAAATAAAAAGCCCCATTTTAAACAACAACATTAACAATGACCATGATCTAGACATTTTAATGTATGAAATTAAAAAAAAAATTTCAGAGACTGACTCTATTCGCCATAAGGTGCAAATGTTAACACTCGCACCAAAATCATGGACACGTAAAAAGATATCAAGCTACTTTGAAGTGTCTGAGTATCTTGTTTGAACAGCAAGAAAAGTTAAAAATGAGAATGGAATTCTATCATTACCCGGGAAAAAAACTGGAAACCCACTTTCACCAGAAACACTTAATTTAGTGATTAATCAACTTATTTTAGTCAACTTAATTTAGTGATTAATCACTTAATTTAGTGATTAATCACTTAATTTAGTGATTTATCAAAGTGATGAATTTTCAAGAATGATGCCAGGAAAAAAAGATTATGTAAGTATTAAGAAAAACCAACATATTCAAAAAAGATTATTGCTACTCAATCTTAATGAATTACATGTTGCATTTAAAAAAGACTACCCTAACGTCAAAGTCAGTTTGTCAAAGTTTTGTACTCTTAAACCTAAATGGTGTATTACAACTAATGCGTCAGGTACCCACAATGTATGTGTTTGCATACATCACCAAAATACAAAATTTCTCATTGATGCCGTTAGGTGGAATAAAAGTTATAAAGATTTCATGGCATTGATTGTTTGCTCTCTTGAAAATGCAGAATGTATGTTGCATCGATGTAACCAATGTCCTGGTATTGAAGCGTTAAAAAGTTTTTTAGTGCAGGAGTTTATGGACCATGAGCATGAAGAAGATGTAGAATTTAAGCAATGGCAGAGTACAGATTGTACAAAACTACTTTCACAGTCATTGCCACTAGATGAATTTATTGATTTATTATATGACAGTATTGACAACCTTACCACTCATTCATATATTGCAAAAACACAAAGTAGATACTTAAAAAACTGTAAAGAAAATCTTAACCAAAACGAATGCTTAATTTTAGGAGATTTTGCTGAAAACTATCAATATGCTGTTTAGGATGAGGTTCAAAGTTATTACTGGAGCAAAAGTCAATGCTCACTTTATACAGTTGTACTTTATTTTATAGAGAACAAACTTCTCAAACATAAATCTTTTTGTTACTTTTCAGAAGATGTTGATCATGACACAGGATTTATTTACAAGACTCAGGAAGATATAACTAGATATATCAAAGAAAATCTACCTAATGTATCAAGTGTGAAATACTTTTCTGATGGTTGTGCAGCACAATTTAAAAATTTTAAAAATTTTATCAATCTTTGTCATCACAGTAAAGACTTTGATTTAAATGCTGAATGGGTATTTTTTGCTACCAGTCATGGTAAATCCCCCTGTGATGGTATTGGCGGGACTGTTAAAAGAGTAGTATGTCAAGAAAGTCTAAAACAAATAACTACTGGGCAGATTTTAGATGTTAATTTAATGTACTCCTTTTGTAAAGCCAAGATAAATGGAATTTATTTTAAGTTATTTTCAAAAGAAGAAATTGATCAAACACGAGCACAATTAGAAAAAAGATATTTAGGTGGAAGAACAGTTCCTGGCACAAGGATGTATCATCATTTTATTCCAATTGCTCCAAACACTATAAGTTATAAAAAAATAAGTATTGATGCATGCACTTAAATATTTGATATCATTCCAAAAAGCTAACATTATGTAGATATTTCATTAAATATTAAAAAAAAGGATTATATTGCATGTTTTTATGATGGATTTTGGTGGGTAGGGATTGCTGAAGATGTAAGTGAGCTTGATATAAAAGTCAGATTCATGCATCCACATGGACCAGGTAAAAACTTCTTTTGGCCAATAAGAACTGATGAGTGTTGGGTGCTCAATTCTGAAGTTATATGCCTAATTTCTACACCCACAACAATATCAGGTCGTACATATAACATAACTGATTTAGATTTAGAGAATATAAACTATTGGTTACAAAAAAAAATTAATTATGCTTAAAATAATTTTTTTTTTATTTTATTTACCTAATTTACATTTTAAATGTCTTTTATTTTTTTCAAATCCTTGGATTGTAGGCTGATAAGGAGGGGTGGGGGTTTAAATAAAGCACAAATCACTCCCATCTTATTATGTCAATGACTATATTAGTCTAAAACTACATAAAGATATTTATTGTCAATATGTTTTAAAAACATTTTAAAACATTTGTTTTTGAAATTTATGGCTTAAAATTGTAAAAAGATCTTTGAAATAAGAGGTAAGTATTTATCGATTTGAAGTAACGCAAATAAATCGTTTCTCAAACTTAAACTGAAAAAATATGTTTTTAAAATGTATTTTAACAATCAACTATTATTTATTCATTTCATGTAAAAAAAAAAAAAAAAATCTAGGGAGATTTGGGGAGGGGGCGGAGGGGCCTCCTGTGGGTAGGGAGGGCATCTCCCTCGGCCCATGACTTTAAATGTTTATTTAAATTTAAACTAGTCAATAAATAACACTATTTGGTGTTTTATTCAAATAAATGTTTAAAAAAATATTTTAATTGCTTTTGTTACAAAAATTAAATTTTTCTAAAAAGACACCATTTTTAAATGCAAATTTTGATCATGTATTAGAGAGACAATTGATGAATCTAATTTTTTTCAGTAGACCTAAGGTGAAATAATGATATACAATTAAAATTTTTACTCTGGATTTTGGGCCACAGTCTTTATTTTACCTCCAAAAATCACTAACTTACAAGTCAATAATTTTGAACAAAATTGGATAAATGAAGCATTTCTTGAGATAATCGAGTCTTAAGAGTGCTATTTTTGGATTCCTCAAATTAAAATCTATTAGAGTACCAAATTTTAGGAAATTTCCCCGAGTCATTATGAAGATACTTATGTCAAAGTTGCTTTGTAGTCGCTTCAAAAAATCACTAAAATGCTGAGTCAGCATTATTTCAACTGACGATATCTCTGGAACCCATTGGTATTTTCAACTAAAATTTTTGTAGTTATTATTTTTTTGATATGGACTGCAAGTGGTGTAAAAATAAACAAATTCTGAGACGTAAGGGTGTCGAAAATTATTTTTTTTGGATGATTTCATATATTTTTACTCTATAAAAACTTTAGTGGATGTAAAAGCATTTCACATACACTACAAGGCAAATTTAAATTGTTTTTAAATATTATTTTTCTAGTTCCAAGCACTAAAGTTCTTTAGAAATTAATAAAATAGTTAGAAAATAAATTTAAAAAAAAATTATTTTTTTAAATTTAGAAAAATAAAATAAATATATATTGCTAATATATCATGTCATAAGATTGTCTACTTTCATAACTCATATAACAGACAAACCAATATATCATGTCATAAGATTGTCTACTTTCATAACTCATATAACAGACAAACCAATATATCATGTCATAAAATAGTCTACTTTCATAACTCATATAACAGACAAACCAATATATCATGTCATAAGATTGTCTACTTTCATAACTCATATAACAGACAAACCAATATATCATGCCATAAGATTGTCTACTTTCATAACTTAAACTTAAAGTTTCTCAAACTTTCAGACAATATATCAGCTTTTGATTGTTGTACGTTATGCGTCGATAATTTTGTTTCGACATAAAAACATTTGTTTCGACATTTTTTTTCTTCAACATAGGTTGTTTTAAGTTTGTGTGGCAATATTTAAAAACAGCTTTTAATACAACTAATAAAAACATACAAAATTAATTATTGGTTGAAAATAAATATTGGTTGAAAATTGATAAAGAGAACCTCAAGCATTGAGATTTGTGTTTGTTTCATGAATAAACATTAGAAATTAAATTTTGATTAAAATCAACTTACCTAAATAAGTTATCAAGACTTTTAGCAAAATAAAAACTGTAATTTGTATATTTATTTGTTTTTATTTACTGACATCACCAAATCAAATTTATTTGTATTAGTTTTCACTATGTCAAATATTTTTGTTTTTTTGATAAACTGTGATAAAAACCCCACATTTAAAATGCTCATATAAACATGTATGCAATTGGAAAATTAAAGACTTCCGGGAGTGATAAACAATGCTTGCTAATCTTTAGTTATTCACTTGATTTAAATAAAATATTTTTGATAAAAAGTTTTTTTTAAGAAAAAAAGTTTTTTTTAAGAAAAAAAGTTTTTAATCAAAAATGTTTGCATATTAAAAAAAAAAGAACATATAAACATTATACACATGTTTTTGATTGAGTTTAATTAATTTAATTGAAGTAAAGCACTAATGTCTTACTCAATTAAAAAGTTTGTTTTCTAAATATTTCCTTACATCATTCAGTTTAAATTATATGCAGCTTTCTGTTTTGTACATACAATTATTAGAAAATTTAATTAAGTCATTACTGCTAATTGATAGGAATATAAAACTTCTAAAACTTCTGAAACATAAATAGAATATTAAAATAAGAAACTAAAACTTGATAGAATTTGAATATCAACCATTGACTAAAACTCATTCTTACTTGACTCATCATTCAGCAAAATCTCATTATTTTACTCCATCTGTCCCTGCATTCTATAAAAACTTTTATTCGTCTAGTTTTTTTCTCCGCACTTTAACCCTTTGGAACTCTCTTCCATCTTCATGTTTTCCTGACTCATACAACCTACAACTTTTCAAGTCTTCTGTCAACCGTTTTCTTATTCTATAACTTTATTTATTTTTTTCTAGTAACTTAATAGTGGTTGATTGCAGTGTTTTGGGAGTGAATCAGAATAATAATAATAATAATAATAATAATAATAATAATAATAATAATAATAATAATAATAATAATAATAATAATAATTATAATAATAATAAAAATAGTGTTAAAACCATTTTGTATTAAATTTTTTTTAAAATAATTAAAGAATTTCTTATGTTACATTGTAAGGTTCTATTAATATTTTAACAACAATAAAAATTTAACATTAAAACATAACTTTAAATTTTAACAATTAAAAAGAATTAATTAAATCAAGAAATACTAAAACAATTAAATGCTACTTATTTTAGGTAAAATTAGTTAACCTTATTTGGTTGATAGATCAAAAACAAAAAAAAAAACAAAGAAAAGAAATAGATAAGAAATTTCTTTTTCAAAATAAGGTCAAAAAACTAGGTAAAAAGCAAACAGCAGATGCAAATGATAAATAAGAAGTTGGAAAGTTGAAGAACTTTTTTTTTCAAACGTGTTGTCTAATAGACTGGTTTAAGGTTACATACATTTTATCAAATACAAATTTAAATAGATTATTTCTAGATTCCCAAATGTAAATTGAAATACAAATATTAATGAATCTGCTTTTTCCAAATACATCTACAAATATTTTTATTTTAGGCAAACAGAAGACAAATTTTTTTTTTTTTTTTACCTAGTCAATAACTAAAGATCACCTTTAACTTTATTTATTACTTGAATCTTTAATTAGCTAATAATACCAAATACCAAAATAATACCAAATGTATTATTTTTCTTAATTTTAAGGAAAAAGTTAAAAAATTGTTCATATCTCAAAAACATTTTGACTTAAAAAAAACAAAAACATAAAAATTTCTGTTACTTTTAATATTAGTGTATGAGTTGAGGTTTTAAACATTTTTTTGTTGTTGCTAGAGTTCATCACCTTAGCAACAGCAACAAAAAAAAAAAAACTGTTCTATACTAGCAACAATATATGTTTGTAGTATATAACTTTGCAAAGCAAAGTTATATATAAGTTTATACAAGTTTTTTAAGCACATGTTCTTAAATCTTATCCATACTTTTGAAGTTGTATTTGTGTAAATTGGAAAACTTTTCAAAATTTTAGACTTTTCAAACCAAAAAATATTAAAATAAAAAAAAATTAATAATAAAAGAAGCTGTGGTGTAGTGGTTAGAGTTAAAGAAAACCAAGAGCTGCATGGATGCTGGAGACACTAGCCCAATAAGCAGCATTGGTTAGCAAACAGGGGTGAACTTCCACAGTGCTCTGTGATAAGACCAATAGGTTTTCTTGGATAACACTACCAAAACATTACAACAATAAAGAGTATTTAAGAGATTTGCTTTTTGCTTTTTTTTTTTTGCAATTGATTCAGTTTAATAATTTTTCTGTTTTTAGGTTCTTTCAGATACATTTCCTCATCACATTTTTTTAATGAATGGTATTATTCAGGGAATTAAGGTTTGGATTTACTTTGTTAAAGTTTATTGTTTCATGGTTTTCAATGTTTTAAATTATATTTTAAATAATTTTCAGGGTTTTTTATCATTTTTATCTGCTCCATTAATTGGAGCTTTATCTGATGTTTGGGGAAGAAAACCATTTTTGTTAGCAACTGTATTCTGTACTTGTCTACCTATTCCATTATTGCGTTTTAATCCTTGGTAAGTTCTTTTATTTAATTTTTTTAGTTTAACATAGAAGTTATTGATATATATTAAATCATGGCAGAAAATTATAACTGATATCTTTTTTTTTTCTTAACATTTTCACTTTTAACAAGGCTACAAGCAACCAATACTAAAGTTGAAAGTTACTGGAAGAGAAAAGATCAAGTTTATAAAGCAAAATAACAATTAACAGACGACTTGAAAGATTGAAAATTATATGAGTCAGGAATAGGGCTGATCAAATAATGGTCAAATTAAATTATTTAAATAACAAAAAATTTTCGGAAAATTATTTAAATAATTCAAATAATATATATAAAGTTAAAATAATTATTAAATCAAAACCATGCACCAATTTACTTTGTACTAAAACATTTGTTCTAGTACAAAGTTTATTTGTGCATAGTAAAAACTAAAGACATTCCTTTATGGGTTAATATCTTGTTAACCAATATAAAAATATAACAAAATATTATATAGGGTAGCATATTTTAATTTATAAAGAATAAGAATAAGATTGCTTTTGCCAAACACAATAAAACTATTTCTGGTTAAATATGACCTTAAAAAACATGTATCGATCATTTCATCGCTTAAGGATGTTCTAGGTTTAGTAATGAATAAGCCAGCCGCGCTGAAGCATCTTTCAGTTTCCACAGATGAAGTTGGCAAAGAAGAAAGGGCTGAATTTAACTTTTCCAAACCTTTTGATCGATCATTAGAGGCTTCAAACAATGCAAATTCTTTTTTTACAAATAATACATTTTTAGTTAGTGAAGCTACAACAGTGACAGATAAATATTCATAAAGTTCATCAATTTTCCACTTCTTTGCTAACAATTCCTTAGACTCTAGAGCTCTTGTTATTTGAGTCAATGGATAGGTTATTTTAATTTGATATATCTTTCAAAAAAAGTCTTTGTATAGATCTTTTGCTATCTTTGGAAGATCCTTCTTTTTTGGATAATAAAGGATTGAGTTTTCAGTATTTTTATCATAACAATTTGGATTGTCTAAATATCTAATAAGTTCACTAATACCAGAGTTTCTTCTTTCATTGATTCTTTCTAACACAGCAGTATAAAGATCTTTACCAACAAGACTTTTCTTTTAATTTAGTTTTGAAAAAGTAAATTCAAAAACTTTTTAATGTCAACATCTCTTTTACAAAGAGCAGTAGCTCCAACTTCAATTATTTCTAAACAATCAGCTAAATCCTGTATGAGATCAACTTCTGATTTAGTGAGTATTAATTCACTGGCAGACAAATCATTGAGAATTGGATCTAAAACATTTATCTTAAGATATCTTAAAAGCATATTATCAAAGAATTCCATCTAGTCTTTGTGTCAAGAATCATTGATTGTTGTTTTCCAAGCTCTTCTAAACAATGTTGTTGGAGAATAACATTTTTGGTTGGAGATCTCCTGAATAACTTGGTAATTTTTCTAATTTTCATTATAGTTTCACAAAGATTGTCTGCCAATTCAATTACATCGTTGTTGCCCAACTCTTCCTGGCATTCCCCACTTAGTTCATTATGGGAATCTTCATCACTTTCATTATGTTCATCGTCAGTGTCAAATTCTTTGAAATGTTTCTTTTTGTAAAGGACATCAACAACAGCAAGATGAACACCATGAGAGTGACATTGTTGATGAACAGTTTTTAAAAGTTTTCCTAATTTTTTCATCAAACTAGCACCATCAGTCATTATACCAAGAATATATGAATCAAGATTTAAATTAAAATATTTAAGCTTTTTTATAATCATTTCAAATGCTTTTTTTGCTGTCATAAAACCATTAACCCTTAACATGCCAAGAGATTGAACCTGTTTTTTAAAAAAATGCAAATTTAAACACATATACTAATGATTTTTCTTTGATGTACATTCATCTAAAGATGAAAAATGAGTATCTGCATTTTTCAACTTTTCAAACTCATCAGCTAAATCAAACTTTACTTTTTTGCAATATTCCAAAAGCATACTTTTCATTCCATGTCTATTACTTGGAATTTTTAAGTTTTGTGCTGCCCAACCATTTTTAATATCAACACTTTTCTCTAACTTAAAAATTGGAATAAGATCTACTGCAACAAGTCTGGCAAGAACAATCTCAGATGAATCAATCTTGTTTTTAAGACAAGAAGTAATATAATTCTGACTACTCTTTTTCTCAACTTATTTTTGTTTTTTCAACTCCAAAAGTTTTATAATTTTAATATTTTCAACTTTTTCAAGACAATAAATCATTGAGCTAGTGGCTGCTGGTTGAAATGTTGAAGAGCAATATTTACACTTGACAATTAAACCATTTGAATGAATCAAAACATGTTTCCAAACTTCAGAACAATTTTTAGTTGGTACGATCCACTGCTTTTCCATTTTTAGGATTTTATTTAAATTTATGTTTTCTAAACAAAATTAAAAGTTAATTTACTATGTTGTTTATTTTCATAATGATAGAAATATGTTGTTACCACTCAGTCTAAGAAGCATAAAATTGACTTTGTTACTGAACAAGCGAGAATAAAATGTAAACAAAATATTAGAACTCAAATGAAAAGAAAGACTTAAAAGATTTTTAAACTGTTTATAGTAAGAAAAATTTATTATTATTTGAATTATTTAAAAAATCAAAACATTATTCAAACAATTTCAAATAAAAAAAATTATTTGATTATTCAAATAATTATTTATTTGATAACAGTCTTAATCAGGAAAGCAAGATGAAAGGAGCAAATTCCAAAGAATTGATGTTTAAGGAAAAAAACAAAAAAAGAATTTTTGTTTTTTTTGATAATAAATTCTAGTAGATGCCACAAAAGACGCTAGCTCTTTAGAGCAACTTCCATTATAGTATTTATAAAGAGGCAACATTACGACAATGTGACAATGATTGAAGGTTGGTTTCAAGGGCAGGTCCAACTAGGTTTACAATTTGTTTTTGTACTTTTTCTAAAAGAGAGAGGGCATCATTCGAAGATGTGCTCCAGATATGGCAACAGTACTTTGTACATGGAGGGATTTGGAATTTGTAGAGACAAAGAATAGAATCCTGAGAAAAAAAGTTGTAAGCACAATAAAGAGATGCAACATTTGCATATCTGGTTATTTGATATGGTTTCCAAGAAAGATCAGAAGAGTTAATCTAAGAAGATAAAGGGCAGATGACTCATCAAGTAAATTATCATTCATAAATATAAGAAGTTCTAAATTATTAGAATAACAGTTAGCTGAAAAAAATTGAGTTTTATATTATTTAAAGTTCAAAAGCCACTGAGATCCCCATGCTATAGCAGAAGTGAGATCCTTTTCAAGCTCAAATGCTCCCTTTCATCAATCAGAGAGTGTTGGTTTCTTATCAAGATAAGAATAAATGGTAGTATCATTAGCAAACAATGCTATATTAGATATGATAGAATTTCTGGGAGATCCTTAATGTAAATTTAAAAAGGTATAGGGCCAAGGATAGAACCTTGAGGAACTCATTAAGTTACAGGAAATGAAGAAGAGTGTTGTCCATCGACGACAACTTATACTATGATTGGTAAAAAAGGATTCAATAATCATAAAGATGTTACCTAATACACCATAAGAAGAAAGCCTATGAAGAAGACCAGCATGCCAAACTTTATTAAAAGCTTTAGAAATATCGATAGTGATAGCCTTAACCTCTTCACATCTATCTAATGCACGATAAAACCAATAGGTTATTATCGTTAACAAATCAGCAGTAGAGCAAAATTGATATTGATGATCAGAAAGTAAGTTATTAGATACAAGATGACAGATTAATTTTTTTTTTAATTAAAGACTCAAAAACCTTGCTTATGATACAAAGGATAGGAAGAAGACTAATGGGATGATAGTTAGATGAGTCAGATCGCTTTCAAGAATTTTTGAAAATAAGAATAACAGATGTCATTTTTCAGCAGACTGGAAAACAAGACTCTGATAAACATTTGTTAAATAGTTTTGAAAGTTTAGACAACAGCTCTGGAGAATGCTTCTTCAAGACTATAACAGGTATGCAAGCCTATCCGGGAAATGTGTGCAGTTGCACGCCTTGTTCGTCTAGGTTTAAAGTAATTTTTTTAGACACACTAACCACAGTAGTTCATATCTTTTATTTTATGAAGCGTTTCAATAATTTGTGACAAAAAGCTATATTTATCTTCTCAGGAAAAAAAAAAACAATCTTTAAAAATAGGAAACAAAATTTTAAGTTTTAATTAAATAAACTAGAAAACTTAATTAAAAAAAGAAAATTATAAAAATTTATTATAAAACAAAAAAATTTCTATAACTTTTTTATACAACTTTTGTAGTCTGTTTTTTTAGAGTGTTGTTTTTATAAAAATTTTACAACAATTGAAAATTTTGACATTTATTCACAATTTTTATCAGTCTGTATAATTAAGAAACTAATTTGCTATGTATGTTAGAACTATGAGAAATTTTGTGAATTTTTCATCTTAGATTTATTTGTTTTGACATCTTTTCACTTTAAAAAATGTTTATGCCACATTTGATGTTTTTTCTCAATACATATCTAAGAAGAAAATAAAAAAATGAATTGCTATTTATTTATATTTTTATTTACATATTATATATTTGTAAAATATATTATTTGATTAATGATGGAATAAATTAAATAAAAGAATAACATGGTTTCTCTTATATATGAATTTATCGTATTAGGTGCATGTCTAAAATAATAAGTAATAATGACTTTTTTATCTTTTTTACATAAAAAAACATGTTGATACATTTTTTATTTATTTAAATAGCAATTAGTTTTTTCGCTTTCCTGTGCATTTATGAAAACAGTAAAATTTAGCAAAAACATTTAAAAAACAAATTTAAAAATGATTCTAGCAAAAATAATAAAGTATTTCCTTAATATACTGACTGAAAAATATCGCAAAAAAATTGCATATCAAAAAAATATTTTTATTTTCATTATATTCTTCTGATCTTATTTCCTCAACTTGAATCAATTTTAGTTGTGGAAATTAATTAACACCCTAAAAATAAGAAAACAAAAACAGTAAAATATTTAGGTATAATTTTTTTGACAAAATTTTTTTTTTTTTTAATATTCAATTTTTTTAAGTTTATTACATTTAGATTTTCTCTTTCGTATAGTATTTGTTTTCTTTCTTTGAGTATTGTTGTTTTATTTTCTCTTGTTTCTTATAGCTTTATTTTGCCACAAATTCTTAAAACACATAAAAATGTGGTCAAGTAGCCTCAAAAATTACTTTAAGCATGGAAAAATGAGGCTCTTTCCGGGAAGGCTTTGGTATGTTTTCTGGACCACAACTTGTATAAGAGTAAAGGCCAGAAATCACTTTAAATACAGAAGTCGGAGTGGTACCATTGTCAAGTAATGGATCAACCTGTTTGTTGGCTATATCAGATAGGATGTGATAAGTGAAATCAAGAGATGAGATTAAAGAAAAGTTTTTAGCAAACATATCAGCTTTGTTATTAGGTGAGGTAAAAAAAATCTGAACCATGCAAGAGAATCTTAAAATAAAGGTGACTTTTTCAGTAAATAAACAAAGTTTATGTCATTTTACAAATAATTTTGAAAGAATTTTGTTATAAATGATTAAATATAAAATTAAATTTATTTGATACATCATTTTAATTGTAATGTTGTCAAATTTTGATTAGTAAAGCAAGGTATCTTGTCAAAGTTGTTGTCGAAAAAAAAAAACTTGTTTCCTAAGTTTTTCCAAGTTGTCACATTGCATAAAAATCTTTCTATATTTAACTATAGATATGTCTATATATATAACTAAAAATATGTCTATATAACTATAGATATGTCTATATAAATAATATAAATAACTATAAATATGTCTATATATACAACTATAAATATGTCTATATAAACAACTATATAAATTTGTCTATATAAATTTTATAGACAAATTTATATAAATATAAATTTGTCTATAAAATTTATTATATATATAACTATATAATTTTATCTTAATTAACTATATAACTATAAAAATTTTCATATTAGGTGGTTCTTTTCATGTTTATCTATATCTGGTGCTTTTTCTGTAACATTTTCAATTGTGTTTGCATATGTTGCTGATTGCACAGAAAAGGATGAAAGAAGTCATGCTTATGGAGTGGTAATTTTTTTTTTTTACAATATTAAGGTACTGCAGTGACAAAGGTGTCTTCAGTGTCTCTGTTGACAAGTATAAGTTATCGTAGTTGCTATATTTGTCAACCATTTTTAATTTGAATATTTAACTTGTATCAATTATCTATTTAAATCTAAAATTTTTTTTAGGTTTCGGCTACATTTGCTGCAAGTTTAATTACTAGTCCAGCTCTAGGAGCTTATCTTGGTAATACATATAATGATTCTGTTGTTGTTGCACTTGCGACAGCTATTTCTCTGTTAGATGTTCTTTTTATCTTGGTATGTGTCCCTGAGTCATTGCCTGAAAGAATGCGACCTGTTTCATGGGGTGCAAGAATTCCATGGGAAAAAGTTGATCCTTTCAGTGTATGTCTTTTAGTGCTTTTCGTTAATATATGCTTATATTTTTATTAATTCAAAATGTGTTTTACTCAATTTTTTAATTATAATTTTAGTCACTTCGTAAAGTTGGCCATGATCCAATGGTGTTGCTACTGTGTGTTACTATATTTTTATCGTATTTACCAGAAGCTGGTCAATATTCTTCTATTTTCATCTACCTTCAGCATGTTAGTATTTAAAAATTCTGGTATTAAAATGTACTAGCCTGGTTACTTGTGGCTACTCTGAGTTGTTTTTTTAGAATGTAGTTTATTATATATACCTATATTATTAGAAATACATTATGTATACATACATACATATATATATATATATATATATATATATATATATATATATATATATATATATATATATATATATATATATATATATGTATTTCTACTGCAGTATCATAAGTAAAAATGAGAAACTTAACTATGGTTCCAGGTTATTGTGGTTTTAAAATTTATACATAAACATATTTAAACTTTAGGTTATTAAATTTAACCGCGAAGAAGTGGCAGTGTATATTGCAATTGTTGGTTTTTTATCTGTTATTGTTCAGGTATTATTTTTGTATTGTACATTGTTTTATTTATTATACATTTTTATATTTATTATAAATATTTTAAATCAAAAAATCTAAGTATGAATAATTTTTTTATCAATTATATAATTAAAAAAATTAATGGGTAACTAAATAATAATAATAAATAAAATATGGATGTTGGCCATTATTGTACTTTTAGTTGACAAATAACCATGGGTGGGATCATGTGTGGGTCATGACAAATAAGAACATCTTTAATTCTAGGAACAAAGGGGGAGAGGGCCAATTTTTAAAATAGTTTTTAAAATTTTTACAAACATTGTAAAATTGTAGTATGTAATAAATTTTTACTAATTGAGGCATGGGAGACAGTTCAAACTACATTAGACTTATTATCTTAATATTTTATAGGCTTATGTTGTATTTTTGTCATTTTTATGCATGCACACTGTTGATTCTAAAAATTTTAGGCTTAATTTTTTAAAGATATTTTTATATAATATATACTTATATATGAACTATATCTTACATTTGAAAAATGACAGAAACCTATAATCTACTATAGTGCAAATATATATAAATTTATGATATTTTTTGCTATTTCCACACAAATAGCAAAAAACATAGTGTATTCGAAATCATCTTTTAATTTTCAAGTTTTAAATTTAAAATTTAATTTATGATTTCTTATCTCTGCTTCAACATTGTGTTTTCAATTTCATACCATTTTCAATTTCATTTTTTTTTTTTTTTATGAGCAGCTTCTGAGACTGCTGTCAATTTGTCAATAGTTAAAGCCCTGTTATTGTAACCCTTGAATAATAATTGATAAATAAGCCCTGTGATTGTAACCTTTGAATATTGCATTTAGAATCTTAGGGTAATGATTTGAGTGAGGTTTAATTTGAATATTAGTAATGGCTTCTTTTCTGTAAATTTTAAACTCGTATTTTCCTTTAGTGTTATTTATTATGGTTAAATTGAGGAAGTTTAGAGTTCTATTTCTAATAATAAATTTCTAATAATAAATTATTATTGTATTAGGAGAATTCGTATTAATTGATGTTTTTGTACTAATATATATATATATATATATATATATATATATATATATATATATATATATATATATATATATATATATATATATATATATATATATATATATATATATATATATATATATATTTAAAATAACCGTTAGATTATTAAGTCTATTCTCATGTTTACTTTTTAAAATAACCGTTAGATTGTTAAGTTTATTCTCATGTTTACTTTTTAAAATAACCGTTAGATTATTAAGTCTATTCTCATGTTTACTTTTTAAAATAACCATTAGATTATTAAGTCTATTCTCATGTTTACTTTTTAAAATAACCGTAAGATTATTAAGTCTATTCTCATGTTTACTTTTTAAAATAACCGTTAGATTATTAAGTCTATTCTCATGTTTACTTTTTAAAATAACCGTTAGATTATTAAGTCTATTCTCATGTTTACTTTTTAAAATAACCGTTAGATTATTAAGTCTATTCTCATGTTTACTTTTTAAAATAACCGTTAGATTATTAAGTCTATTCTCATGTTTACTTTTTAAAATAACCGTTAGATTATTAAGTCTATTCTCGTGTTTACTTTTTAAAATAACCGTTAGATTATTAAGTCTATTCTCGTGTTTACTTTTTAAAATAACCGTTAGATTATTAAGTCTATTCTCATGTTTACTTTTTAAAATAACCGTTAGATTATTAAGTCTATTCTCATGTTTACTTTTTAAAATAACCGTAAGATTATTAAGTCTATTCTCATGTTTACTTTTTAATAAATAGTTTGTTTTTTTATAATTAGAATTTTATGTTTTTTTCTTCATTTCTTTATTTTTATTTTCTCTCAAAAAGAACAAACATTGATTAATATAGGTGCAGCAGAAATCTACTTTGACTAATAGATACAGCAGTGTATATATACATTGGCTGTTTTGAGGTGATACTCTTCTAATTTTATTTTGGTCTTGTTTTTTTCAAGTTTAAATTAAATCAACAATTTATGTGATATATAACTAAACTACAGTTTGCATTTACCATAAAATTATTTTGGGAGTGGCTGAAGGTCCAAAATTAATTAACAGTCCTGGCAATTGTTTTGGCTATTATAATAAAATGGTTGTAAAAGAAATTTTTAAAAGTTATTGCAATAGTCTATGGTGTACTAGGGTGGTCTATTTAGGACAATTTTTGGAAACAATTACTTACATTTTTTTACATTTTACTTACATTAATTCATTACATTTTTCAATTTTTTCTTGTAAACCCTATTTAATATTTCTCCTCCAATTTCAGTTCTATTAGGTAGAGTGTATCCTGAATGAAGCATATTAATAAATTTAAAAAAAAAAAAAAAAAAATCATTTAAAAAAATATATCTATATTGAAGATTAGTTATATTTGTGAACATAACCCTGTCTTAGTTTCCTGTTGTAAGTTCAAATCTTTTTAAAAAACATTCCTTTGGTTTAAACCAACATTTTTTTAATTGGTTTAAACCAATGGTTTAAACCATTTGGTTAAAACCATGCAACCCTGAATAAAAGCAAAAAGCGCATAATTTTTAGTTGATAATTTTTTTTTTTAATTTAAAAATAAGCCTAGTGAGGACGCTATCTTGAAAAAAAGATTTTCAATTAGAATTTAAATAAATTAAAAAATAATTTTACAATATGTGCAAGGTGTCCACTCTGCTGGAAAAATTAGGAAAGCTGGAAAGGGCTGCTTTTGAAAAACACGCTGGATAAACTGAAATTTGTATTTTTTGAGCTTCATCAGTTCAATGGAGCTCAAAACGTACATTTTTCAGTTTTTCTAGCATCTTTTTCAAAAACAGCCCTTTCCTTTTGCTCAAAGTATATTTTAAGCATTATCAAAACAAAAATTAGCTCATATTTTCTCAAAATTATATGAAAAGTTTGACTTTTGTTTGTCTAAAAATTTTAAAATGCTTAAAAGGAAGTTATTGCATTGTATGTTAATTATGTTTTTGCGCATAGCTGACCAAAAAAGTCATTCGGTTGTTTTTCATTTAGTTTTTTGTTTTTGTCTGATTTACTACCAATAAGGCTGCAAGCCTTGTTGGTAGTAAATTCTTAACCATTAACAAAAATTTTGAAAAGTAAAAGTCTTTTTATTATAGGGTTGAGAGTTATTCAACATCTTCCCTGAATAAAAAAAATTAGAATATTAGCTTCATTAATATTCATTTATCATTTATGTTTATTAATTTGTAATATGGTCATACTTCAAAAGCTTTTGAAACTGTGTGATGAACCTTTCTGGAGTTCTGGAGTTCACAGAAATTAACCATTTCTGTGAAAAATGTAACAAATTTTTTTGAAACTATTGAAAGAGTTTATGATAAGTATGATTTTAATCCAGACCGATGCTATAATCTGGATGAGATTTTTTACCAAACACAAATAAAATTAGATTTTCTATTTAATTTTTTTTTTTAATAATTATAGACTATTCCTTACAAAATTAGAGAAAAAAGAAATGATGTGTATATTGGAAAAATGTGAAAAGATTTGTATATAGCACTATTTATGGATGGTCATGGCAGTCATCTTTCATATATTCTTGGGCTAACAATGTAAAATGTTACTATCATTAACAAAAATTTTGAAAAGTAAAAGTCTTTTTATTATAACAACCTTTTATCATAACTTCTAGATATCAAGATTAATATAATTTATTATAATTTATGAATTATTATAATTTATAATAAGTTTTACACCAGTAATATAAAAAGATATTAAAAAAAAATCAACATAAGTTAAATACTTTCAGGCACCTTGCTTTATATGAAACTCTAAAAATCTTCAATTCAAACTCTCAAGAATGTAAAAAAAAAATATGAATGTAAAGAAAACTATGAAAAATAAGACCAGGTGAAAATTCTCATAAGGGTAATAAATTCTTCTATGGTTGAGAAAACTTTTTCAGCTAATTAAAATTGTGGACTGACTAAAAATGCATATTAACTTATAAAATCTATAGCAACGAGTTCCACTAATTAGTTAGGAGTTACTCAAGAACAAAGAATAAAGTTAAAGAGCAAATAAATTATTGAAAGAAGACTTGAAAAGTTGAAGGTTGTATGAGTCAGGAAAACATAAAGATGTGAGAGAAATCCAAAGGGTAGAAGTATGGTTAAAAAAACTATTGAATCTGATCTCACTTCTATAACTTTGTTATAGAAGTGAGATCAGATTCAATACTAGGGTCAAATGAAATACGCGAATAAGTTAATAAATACGAAGTAATAGCTTATTTCTTAAAAGCTACTTTTTTAAATTACGGCTCAAGTGACCAATAAATCTCCAACTATAATTTTTTTGTATGAATTACTTCATGTTCATTGCCATGTCAAAAGAGTTTGGCGCAGTTTTATGCAGAGACAAAGTTTAGCAACTTATCAAAAGAATGTTTCAGTCACCTGCAAAAAAAACTTTTCAGCTCTGGTAAAGTTTTTACACGTACCCAGATAGTCACTGGGTTTCAGAATACTGGCTTGTTTCCACTCGACATTGATAAAATCAATCAGTCAAAGTTGTAAATTATAGTAAATATAGTTATAAATGATAGTTTCATCACCAAATTTAGCACCAGGAACTGCATTACCTCAGCCACTGCCTTCTGAATCTACACCAACAACATCTAGCATCAGCATATGGCACTTAGCATCAGCTCCAAAGTCATCACAAAAGTCACCTTGTCTGCAAACAACCTTTAATATTGTAGTAACTCCGGCTATTCAATAGGAAATTCAAAAAGAGGTTAAAAAACAATTGCAATCAGTCCAATCATTTGGATCAGCTTTGCAACAAATGTTTCGTATCCAACACGTTGACACAAAAAAAAATTTAATTTTTTTGTGTCAACGTGTAATTAAAAAAATTAGTTTTTTTAATTACACTTATATTTGCGTATTTCATTTTCCCTGAATGTCAGTGTAGAATGGAATAAAAAAATTTTTAATCAAATAAAGTTTCAAAAAAATTTTTACAGAAAAATTTTTAAAATTTTATATCTTTTTTTTTATCTAAAATCTTTTTTTTATAAAAAATTAATAATTAAAATCCTTGACTATTCTATTTGACCCCATTTTACTCTATTATTTTTGATATATATTAATATTGACATATATTATTTTTGATATATATTAATATTGACATATATTATTTTTAATATATATTAATATTGACATATTTAATGTATACATATAAAGTATGCATTGGTATACACCAAGTAACATGACATGAAATTAATTTTTTTTCAAGTTATTTAAATTTAAAGTTGAAAAAAGTGTAAATTACCATTTTTCAAGAAACTCTAAAAAAAACTTTAAACTTTTTTTATCAGTTTTTTTATATTGCTCATTTATATGACTTTTTACTGAAATGCGAAAATATAAATTAAAAAAAAAAAAAACTTTAAACAAAATGTTCACAAAAATCAATCAAAACTTAGTTTTATTTTAGTACAGTATGTAAAGAGAATTTTTTACAAAATGAACAAGGTTTTCTTGAGTTGTTGGGTTGTTTCTTTTAGCTGATTATGCAGAAAAAATTGAACAAAGTTTTAAAATTTTATTATATTTTTTTAATTTTTTGATTAAATAATAGTTTGATTACAAATAAAATCAATAAAGTGTTTTTAAAAAAATATAATTTTTTTTTTTTTTTTTTTGGCGATGATTTTCTTTTACCATTTTTTGATCAAAAACACCAAATGAAGATCATTGCTACTTAAATTTCTCTGTAAGCTTCATAAAATCTTAGCGACATTTTTAAAAGGCATTACATTTTGCAATAAATTGGTTATTAGTGGTTAACTACTGATGGTTATTGATGGTTTACTGCTGAAGGTTATTGGTGGTTATCTACTGATGGTTATTTTTGCTTATTTACTGCAGATGTTGTTTTGTGGTTATTTACTTATTACTAATAGGTCTTCTTTGGAGAGTCTTCAACGATGGCAGGCGTGTTTTTATAACGGAAAGATAAAGGAAAAAAAAAAAGAAAAAGAAATTTAAACAAAAATTTTAATAACTAAACAACAAATCTAATCAGTAAATAAAGTAAAAAATTTTAAAAAGAAAGAAATTTAAATTAACGAAAAAGAAATAATAATAATTAAGTGCATATAAATTAAATTAAAATAAATTAAAATAATAAAAAAAAGTCGTAAAAAATCCTAATAAAAAGGAGAAGTCCAAACAAAAAGGAGAAGGAGAGAGTTACGTCTTATTAACTTTAAAAAGAATAGACAAAAAAAAATTCGAAGTTTTAATCTCCTAAATATAACTAAAAGAAAAGATAAAAAAGAAAAAAGAAAAGAAAAAGATAAGAAGAAGAAAAACAGAAGAAACCAACAAAAAAGCTGAAGAGAAGAAAGAAAAGATCAAGTTTTAAAAGATATTTTTGTAGCTAGTCTTTGTTGTAATAATCATTTTTTTTTAATTTTATTTTAATTATTATTTGTATTAGATACTTATTTTATATTAGATTATTTATTCATTTTACTATTTCATAATATATACTTATATCATTCTTTAACGTGGTATTTGTTATATTATTATTTTTTATTATTATATTAATTAATTATTAATATTATAGTGTTACCATTAGTTATTTTTATTAAATATTATATTTGTTAAATATTATCATTTTGTGTATGCATTTTGTTTTGTAGTTTTTGTGTTTCTCTTTTCGTTTGCGTTATTAATTGTGCTAATTATTTAAGTTATTAATTGTGCTAATTATTTTTATTGTTGATTCTTATTTTTCTATTATACCAATTTTTCTATACTTTTTTTTTTCTTTATTTCGCAAAAATAACTAAAGTTTGTTCTTATTATTTAATTTTTTTTTTTTTTTTTTTTTTTTTTTTTTTTTTTTTTTTTTTATGTAAAAGTGTTTGTGTTTGCCTTTTCGTTTTGTTGTTTTTGTGTTTTGCCTTTTCGTTTGTAAAAGGTTTGTTTTTTATTTGTTCTGTTTTACTTATTATTTTTATTTTTGTTTGCTGTTGTTGTTGAGTGTTTTCATATTTTCTGTCTTATTATTTAACTTATCGGTGTTTATCGTTATCGTTGTTTATCGTATCGCTTTATCGTTATTTTTATTTTATTTATTTTCTTAGCGATTTTCGGTTCATATTTATTATTTTTATAATTATTTTATTATTATACTAATTGTTATAATTAATTGGTGTCACTCATTTTGATCATGAATGATACTCGTGTCATCATATTGTTTGTATCATTATAGATAATATTATTATTTTTTAATTATTGTTATATTATTTGGTGTCACTCCTTTGATCAGGCTTCTGTTTGAGTGACACCTTCCTTTTCAAATAACTATTTATATTTATTCTTATTAGTTATATTTTATTATAATTATATTGTTTGTATTATTATAGATAATAATAATAATATTATTATTATTATTATTATTATTATTATTATTATTATTATTATTATTATTATTATTATTATTATTATTGTTATATGATTAAATGTAAATTTTGAAAAAGGAAAATAAATATCTAAAAAAAAAAAAATACTACTGATGGTTATTTATGGTTAAGTACTGGTGGTTGTTGTTGGTTATTGATGTTTAACTACTGATGTTTTAGTTTATAAAAAATATTCAAAGATTTCAAATCAATAATTATATGAATAATAATTATATAGAGACCTTTCAGTTATTGAAACATTCAATAACATTTTTCATTTCTAATTGTTTTTAGTTTATATGTTTTGGTTTAAGTAAAATATATTATACTACTTTTTTTTTTTTTTTTTTTTTTTTTCTTTTTTAAATTCCAGCCTTGAATTTTATATTTCTAATTTATAAGTTGTTTTTATAGTAACTTTCTTTCCTTTTTTTGTTCATTAATATTTCTTGTTTTGTTTTGCAGACGCTGGTGTTGTCACTTTTTATGAAGTCTTTAGGTCTAAAAAACACAATAGTGTTATCACTGATTTTTCAAGTTACTCAGTTGTTGTGTTATGCATTTGGAACTCAATATTGGTTTGTTTTTTGTTCTGTTATATTTGTGTTATATAACTCATAACTGGTAGTTTGATAGTCAATCTGTTTGATAGTTGTTGTGTTATATTATAACTCATAACTGGTAGTTTGATAGTCAATCTGTTTGATAGTTTTTAGTTTTTTAATTACTTAGAGCAGTAAAAAAAACTGATTCATGTTTTATTTAATATAACTCTAGGATGATGTGGGCAGCTGGTACATTGGCCGCTATGTCCAGTCTCAGTTACCCAGCAATTAGTGCTTTAATATCATGCAACGCAGATGCTGATAAGCAAGGTTTTTTAAATTACTTTTATTATTACAAATTTTATGATACGGTTTCAAATTAAAAGTTTCATGGAACATTTGTATATAGGTGTTGTTCAAGGAATAGTTACTGGTATTCGTGGTTTATGCAACGGTATTGGGCCAGCAATTTATGGTTGGATTTTTTTTATATTTAATATTAATATAGATGAACAAAAACCTAATGTCTCACATAATTCGACATCTCCTTCAGATACCTTTAAAACAGTAAGAATGTTATTTTTTTCAAAATTGTTATTTTGTTGCTAGCTGGTTTTTTTTTTATTTTACATTGATTAAACATTCTTTGTATAGACTTTTGAAAAAATTATAATAAAATTTTTTTTTTTTTAGAATCCCTATATTCCTGGTCCACCGTTTTTGTTTGGTGCTTGTTTAGTATTTCTTTCTCTACTTACTGCTTTATTTCTTCCTGATGGTAAATTAAACAACATTAGTAGAACTTCTGTATTATTAAACCACAATGAAAGAAATGTTTCATTGAGTGAATATGATAATGATTTTGAAACAAATGATCAAACGTTGTTATTACGTGACGACATTAACACTTAGAATTGATTAGGAAGGTAATTTTGAATAGAATCGAATCTCAAAGAAAAAGTTGTGAGTAAATTTAAAAAGAGTTGCGACCCTTCCTTTGACAAGGAGGAATTTTTATATTAACTGAATTCTTTTTTGTTACAACAACCAAGCATAATGATGTGTCGTGCTTGCTAATGTTTTGGAATTGAGAAGAGTTTTTCGATGTTTCGGCAAAGTACTCAAATTATATAAATTAATTTTTAAATGCGATGATTTAATTTAAATAATATTTAAGAAAGACTGATAGGAATGCTTTTTATTAAGAGTATCAATTATGTATAAAATGGTAATTGGTAATATATTAGTTGAAAGGTTTTTTATAAATAAATCCTATATATATTTGTACATTGAATAAGCTTGAATGGTAGATATCCCAAGTTCATTAAGACGAATTTAAAAAGCAGCGTAAAGTATTCAATTTCAAGTAAAGATAAAAAAAAAATCAAAAGTAATAAGAAACAACATAATATTTTTATTCAAGCAACAATTTCTGTTAATATTTATTAAAATATTTTTTTTTTCTTGTTTGAGAATTCATTGCGCCAATACCCGTTTAGAAAGTTATATGGATATATGGAAATATGGGTAAGGTGACAAGCCTCATCTGCAAAATGGTGACAAGCCTCATCTGCAAAACAAAGCTACATTAAAAACTGACTAGAGTTAAAAGTATAAAGTAAATTTACAAATTTTATCATTTATTATATCAAAGATTAAACTTTCGAAAAGTTTATCGATATTGATTTAAAAAAAAATCTTGTTTGACTTGAGTTACTATTTTGAGCGCTGAAAGTTAGGGGGCGCTTCTTGTTTTTTACTTTAGTATGAAATTCATACAAATAGAATTAATCTATAATAACATGTTTAAAGACTATTTTGAATCGTTTTGTAAATTTTTTCAGGCTGAAGCAAATGACAAACATGTCATCTTTCCTCATAAACACAACTTACATCCCATTATAAAAAGTTCTGAATATTGTTTTTATGTTGTATTTAACTTGCTATTGTTGATATTAATTATGTTGTATTTAACTTGATATTGTTGTGTTTTCCATTAATGTCCATAACGTAGTTGAAGATTTTTTAAAATTAACTGAGACTGCGTTGCGTTCTTTTTATAAAAGAAGGCAACGCAGTCATCTAATCAAGTAAACATGTTATTACATTTACACTTGCATGTTATTACATTTTATTAACATGTTATTACATTTAACACTTGCGGTTAATGTTAACACCATATCAACACCAGGGGCGTTTACAGGAAATTTTTTGGGTGAGTCCAAAAAAAAAACCCTCCTCTGCCTCTCTTATTTTTCAGGGAGGGGCCAGGTTGAGTGTATTTTATAAAAATATTTATTCTTTAAATGACTTGTAACATTGATATAATGGTAACTAAAGCTCAAAATATGATTTTTGTAAACTAAAAAAACTATTTTTAAAAAATACTCAGTTGTCGTAATGTATAATATATACATGTTAAAATTTTTTACAAGATTTGTGAAAACAATTTACAAGATTAATACAAGATTTTGCTGTGTAAATTTTTTTTGATAAATAACTTTTAATTATAAATAAACTTTACAAATACTTTGAGTCAAAAAAATTATTGCAATAACTGTACAATGCTAAATAATTTTACAAAGATGTCAGCTATAAAAATAGCTGTTTACCAAAAAGCAGCTCAAACATTTGAACTTATACTTTTATCGTATTTGAATTTTATTAAAAACATAACTCATAAGTATTTATAACAAACTTGAAAAGGTTTGTTGCTTGTAATGCTTTAGTATTATTAGATTAAAGTTCATTTTTGAAATTCAGGCAGTTAAGTGAAATTCAACTAAACTTCCCACAGATCAAATTTGAGTAATAAAGCCTTTGGTTTGGAAATAATAAATAAACCTAATAAAGACTTTGATTTAACACTGACACTAAAAAATATGATTTGGTCTTCCAAACTAGTATAACAAAACATTGAATTTCTGCAATTATTTTTAGAAGAAACTGAATGTTAGAGAGAAGAAATTAAAACAAAGTGCTTTATAACACTTCAAAATTGTATCAATTAACCAATGTGTTAAACTCAGTAATCTAGATAAAACTCAGATAGTCTAGCAAAGAAACAGCGATAACCAAGTTGAAATAATTTGAAAATTTTTAGGATTGTTTAAAGCATATTAGGAGGTGTTGATTAGTAATATTTCTAACTAATGAGACAAAATTAATGCTTGAATAAGATTTAAACTATGAAAATTATCATTATTACTTGCTTGCAAAATTGTGTAATTAAAAAAGTTATATTAAAAACATGTCTTGTTATACACACTGCAACAATAAAATCAAAATTTGTTATTAACTTCAGAAGAAGAAGCAGTAGCAGAGGCTTTACCATTATTGACATTCTTTGATACAGAAAACCAAAGGTATAAAAAACTTTCGTAAAGTATCCATGCCACTATTTCACATTTCATAATATCCAAAGAAAAATCAGTAATAGCTTTTATAAAAATACTAAGCAAATAAGTTTTTTCTTTAATGTGGTTCATCATAGTTCCTATTACGATTATCATGAGTCTCATAAAGGATAAACAATATGGCTAATTAAAATTATATTTAATAAGTCTAAAATCTTCTTCTTGATTATCAAAGAAAACCAAGGAACAAATACTAGTTTTTATCGATGCAACTATAAACACCTACTTGTAATAACTCTCTGTCTTCCTTTCTTTTATTCAAAGGATACCGTGATATCAAAAGTTCTACACAATTAAAGTAATATTCGGTCGCCTAACTTTAAAGAAATGATGCTTTTTTTTAACATACTAACTTTTTCTTTTAAATGCTACATAACTTGTGAATTAAGCGACATTTTGACCTAATCGTCGGCCATGTTATATGTTTAATAAAATTAATTAATTTAATAAAACAAAAATTAAGCAGGGTGTAAGGCAAAGGGGAAGTCCGAAATTTATTTTCCACATTTGAAACCTTTTCTCTCCTTATTTATTACTTAAAATGCAAGTTATTAAAATGATACACAGTCTAGTGTAACAAAACTGGGGATGTCCATTGATATATACTAGTTGTTCCTAACTAATTTTACCTCCTGATGATAGTTAAACAATCAAAATTGATAAAAATTTTACTCAAGATGTACGTTAAAAGGAAGTCCAAAGTTTGTTCTAATTGAAATAATCATTATGATTTTTTTTAAACCAATGAAAGAAAAAATTTAAAAAATAGAGTTCTATATAACAAAATAAAATAAGGTATGTCAATTCCAGTTTCTAATTAAGTTATTTAACTCAAAAGTTAGTTTAACCTCCATCAAAATAATGTAATTATTACTTTTTAACAATAGCAAGTCTTGAAACCGGTATACTATATTCCGGTTTTTAATATTGTGGAGTTTGAACCGTTTTCCGGTTTTTAAATTTTTTCCAACCGTCTAAGATAATTAACTGTGCATAATTTGTTTAGTTTTAGCTGTAGTTTGGTTTTAATAGTTATATATAGTAAGATTTTTTTTAACAATATAATCAAGTTGAAAAACTTTTATTTAATTTTTTTGGGTACGTAAAACCAACGACGTAGCGAGACACGCTCCTGAACGCAGTACATGTATCTTAATATTTCAATTAAATGAAACATGTATTAAGTTTTTATTTGTTTAAGTTAAAAAATTCCGACCATTCTTCTATATTGAGTTTAAACTTGTCAACACTTTTTTTAAACGAGTTAACTGATTCAGTACTTATGGCGTCTGTAGGTATCGCATTCCATCCATTTACGATGCGATTAGTGAAGAAATTGAATCTTTCATCACAGATTTTTATATTTTGAGGTTCAAGTCTAAGGTCAAGTCTACTTTGCCCACGCAAATTGTATTTGCGTAGGCAAAACCTTAAAAAACCTAAAAGGAAATTTAAATAGCGTTTCATTACTAACTCGTAAAATAAAATATAGCAGTATTAAACATGTAAATAATGTTACTCATATAAGATCAAAGCGCCCCATATCGGAGATCATAGATCATTGATCTTTTGCAAGGGTTGTTGTAATGTTGAGATATACCATGTTCATTAATGTTTTTTATTAAAACATTTATTTTTACTTAAAGAAAGATTGTTCTAGTTTAGTTTAGTAATTAATAAGTTTTTATATCTAGATCGGGTTGTTTGCAGTTTTCAAAATACTGCAACGGCGATCAATGCGCCCCCATCTCCCCTATATTGATATACATGTAATGTATATTAATGAGAAAGTGCGACACCAGGCACTTCCATGCTGGTGATAAGATATTTTTCAAAATAAAATCTTTTCAAAATTAAAACGCATAATTGCAATATTTTTGCTGAAATATTTTTTACTATTAAAACAAAGTGAACAGAAGACCACCGAAGCTCAGATATCTAGACTTGTTGGATGTTGCTAATTAGCAACAGTTGAGTTTCCAATCCGATTATCCGAGGAATTCAAGAAAATATCTTTTATAATATGAGAAATGATTTAAGCGTCTACCATGGCGCATTATGCGCCGCTCTAATACAAAATGAGGAAATAGGCTTATAAATAGAATTTTTTACATTTTGCCCCACGCAAAAACAATTTGCGTCGGCATTACCTTAGACTTGAATCTCAAAATATAAAAAACTGTGATGAAAAATTCAATTTCTTCAATAATAGCATTGTAAATGGATAGAATGCGCTACCTATAGACACCATAAGTACTGAATCAGTTAACTCGTTTAAAAACAGTGTTGACAAATTTAAACTTAACATAGAAGAATGCTCGGACACGCGAGTACCTTTTCTTTCAGCATGGAAGTCCCTGGTGTCGCACTTTCTTATTGATATACATTACATGTATATCAATATAGGGGAGATGGGGGCGCATTGATCGCCGTTGCAGTATTTTGAAAATAGCAAACAACCCGATCTAGATATAAAAGCTTATTAATTACTAAACTAAACTAGAATAATCTTTCTTTAAGTAAAAATAAATGTTTTAATAAAAAACATTAATGAACATGGTATATTTCAACATTACAACAACCCTTGCAAAAGATCAATGTACCCCATGCAATGGGGTACTATGATCTCCAATATGGGGCGCTTTGATCTTATATGAGTAACATTATTTACATGTTTAATACTGCTATACCTAAGTGCTACAAATGCATTAGTTGAAGGGTATTAGTGTATATTATATAATACATCTAAAAAAAAAGTAAAATTTAAAACATATATATATATATATATATATATATATATATATATATATATATATATATATATATACATATATATA